TTGGGTGATAAAGAGAGACAAGCTAGTCAATGAATAGAAAAAGGAAACCAACTGTTGAATATATGGCCATCACTGAATTGTGTGCTGTCTATTAGGAACGTCAAGCAGGTACAGAAATTGAATTATCTGAGTAGTGTATGGGAGAAATCTGAAGATACAAAGGGTGGCCACACTTACTTAATTTACGATAATAAAGTTCCTATGTTTGAGAACCGCAAGACAACAATAAAATTTACACATCCACATGTGATTACTGTCACTCCCCGACCGGCGTACATAATCCTTAATTCCCTTCCCCATGACTTCAGTCTTCTGACACTCCTCTGTAACCCTTGCTGACCAGAAATTTCTTTAATCCCTCTGCCTCCCACCATTCTTCCCATCAGCCTCACTCAAGCGTAGCATTCAAATTAGGATTTAATTAGTAAATTTTTTTACTAACATTGAACATTAAACTTACATTTTAATCCTACGGGGTCTCAAGTCATACCCAGTAAATAATTATAAAGCTTAACATTTTTCTTATTTACCGTTTATATTAAATGTGATGAAAAAAGAAGGTCAGCCAATATCTTTCCACGAGCCATCAAAGAGCCGTGTGTGGCTCATGAGCCGCAGTTTGGCCATCCCTGTTATATCCCTTGTTATTAAGACCTGCATCTTGGTTGTTATATTGACAATGTTTCAGCCTTTGTACCCTCCGTCATTCTTTAGGTGTTTGTTATCTTACACGATAAGCTCTAAATTTGGGATAGAACTCTTTATTGAATCTATGGAAGTAAATTCTTGCATTCTGTTTTCCATGCTTAGGAAATATTTCATATCTGTTAAAACACGTTAGTCTTGTTAATATTTGTATCGCTTGTCCATTTCTTCCACTGAACCGTAACATATATCTTTCCAACTCTATTAGTTGCATTGATTGAACTCAGATCAGCTTATGTTTTAAGCAATTGTTTAATCCATTGTGTCATGTGTCTAACTCATGTCATTTTGGAGTCTTAAATCTACTGCTTACTATATACGTATGTCTTATATTCTGTGCGAATTATTATAATCCAGCAAGGCCAGTTGATTTTCCGCTAGACTCTAAGATAGGTCATATTGAGTTTACATAATTCAGCAGTATTTATTCACTTTCCTGGTGTGGCTAGAGTATGAAGATGACATCTATGTATCTGATCTCATAGTTAGGTTTAATGGTAATGCTTCAGTGGCTATTTCTTCAAATTATTTCATATCTATGTTTGCGATTACAGGGGATAACGGCTATCCAATAGCTAAGCCTTCTTTATGTCGATAGAATGTTGGAACCCAATTGAAAGTAAGTTGTTTTCACAGAGAATGTCAAAATCGCTGTCAAATGATTTATTGGGGACATTGTACGTTCTACAAGAAAGAGATCTAATTTGTCTCGAACCACGAACAGATTTTTGTCAGTCGGAACCATGAGGAATAAATTCACATGATATGAATAGGAGTGGGCAAGGATTTTTCATTCTTTTTACATAAGACGGAGATTGGTGGGCTGAACATAGTTGTGAGAAATCTGTCCAGCGAAAGACAGGCCAATCCCTGACCACTAGCCATAAACCTCAATGGTATACTATCTTACTGAGTTTTGAGAAGGTGATACATAAGTTGTAACTTACTGTAATGCTGTGTCAGTAATTTATAGTCATTCATTGTGAAGTAATCTTTGTTCCTATTTACAGTCTCAGCTTCCGTTCAATGTCCATAATCAAATCATTTTAATTTGCTGGGGTTATCATGACCAACTAGTTTGGCCATTTTTTTCAGAATATTCCAACTGGTCAATAATTGGCTTTGCATTACCCTTTGTCAACTCGCTATTACTCTGTAGGATTTTGGTAATTCTTACTTCTTTTCTTGTAATATTCGAATTAGGAAGTTTGGTTTTCTTCAGTGCCTTTCTCATATTCTGCCTCAACCAATTAGTCTGAGCTTTCGTGATCCTCAAAGTTGCCACCTCAGTTGAAGCGATGCTGTCTAACTATGGGACTCACTTGATGATTGCGGATTTTAAACCTTTGTTCAGTATTTCTTCCTCAAACTTATTTTATACATATACTGAACTGCTACGTAATATCTGTCGTCCTATACGGCAGTAAATGCTAAACAATCATCTCAGAGATGAAGAAGAGACTTGAAGCAACAGAAGTGTGTTTCTACAGGAGGATTCTGAGGATACCATGGGCCGATCATGTGAGCAACAATGAAAATTTAGAAAAAATGGAAACAAAAAGGGAAGCTGTTATGGTAATTAACCCACGCACGCATTGACTCCCCCAGCTATAAATAGGAGCAGGTACTGCCTTTTGGAGGGGGAAGTTTCCAGCAGTCAGCTCTGACAATCGGACCGAACATTCTTGCTGTAACACTTACTGATGTTGACAACCATTTCACAAGCTTATAGTGAATAGTGTTGTAACTCTTGTAGTGATCTTTCAATTTTATTGTGTAAACCTAACATAGATCACTCGGCTAAACGTATTCAGTAACACTTGTTTGATTTATTTTTCATATGGCACATTCTCTCCGATTTTGTCCCCAGATTTGTCATTTTGAAACTATGTCGGTTTTGTAGCATAAACACGAACCTCTTTCTTTCGATTCAACAAAACTATATACTCAAACTTTGATATTACTGAACAATCGTGTTATTACAGGTGTAGTATACGATTCAGACCAGGAAATACCAGAGGCATGAATCGAACCTAATAACAAGGGTTGATCTATGTTAATCTGACTATGTACTGAGTTCACCCTAAAAATAGCTAATCAAGCTTTGTACTTGGTGTCACATCAGAAGGTCAAAATGTTAGGAGACTCAGAGGATTGAACTAGACCGTGACATCTTAGCCACCAAGTACAGAATCGGGCCTCAAATGCTGTCGCTGGTGGAAGTCAAACCAACTGGACTTATAATATATGCACAGACACAAGACAACCGAATAACAAAGTTATTTAAACGCCGGACCAACGTAGCAAAAGTCTTTCAAATCCTCGCGAGAGGATAGAACATACCAAAAAGTCACCAAAAACCACATACCCTCTACAGTCGACGTTACTTTGATAAAATCCAGAATTAAACACCGGATATACTCGTATAACGTGCGATCTTGAGTATCGGGCAACCCCAAAATTTTCACTTATAAAAAATGATTTTATCCTGTATCTCGTGTATCATGCGAGTTCCTTTTTTTGAGGGACCAAATTACAATAAACTAAAACCTCTTTTCCTCTATCTCTTTATCTCATCTTCTAGTTAAATAAGCTAAAAAAGTAAAAGGAAATGATAAAAGTATCATTAGTACCGCTATACTCGTTGCGTAAACGCGTCCAGCCATAAACAACCGAACGAGAAAGTTAAACATTTTAGAAACGTAAACAATGGAAAAGATACATATTCGCTATATTTGTATTTTTATAATACGATATTAATATGTGAATATTACATGCATTATTATTGGATACAGTTAAGTAAAACATCAGTTTTATCAAAATCATGTTTATTTCAAATATAGTTGTACTTTCGACTACAGTAAATGGATATATATTTTGGTCAACAGCGTAGCCAGGGCCAGTAGTTCCTCTGCTAATTTTATATCTCGTGTATGATGCGACCCTCTTAAAATTAGCTTCAAAATTAGGTCTTCAAAGGTCGCATGATACACGAATATATACGATAACTAAAATGAAAATCTCCTAAACGTTTAATATTTTCAATTCCTTTGAGAAAAAGAATTGTGTAAACATTCATGAGGCTTTGGTTTTATCAGCTAAATATTCTAAATTAATCTTCAGAAATTTGTAAAAGAAAAGGGTTTTATTTTATTTTATTTTATCTTAGTTTTGAGGAAATAGTTCAGCATTCACTGCCATAAAGGAGATTCGATATTAAATATCATTCAATACATTTTTGTTTCTTTCTAACGAAATTTTCATTTCTTAAAAGATTTTTTTTAGTCTCAAAGAAATAGTCTTTCACTATTCCAATGGATTTCTGTTACATTTTCTGTCGTCTGTTACTACACTACCCAAATAGTTAAATTTCTTAGTCGTTGAGGGAGTGTTTAAAATATTCCTAGCAGGGAAACGCGACATTTGTATATCTATAAATATCCTCAGATCAGAAGACAGCATCAAGTTGCTGATATCAGCAATTTGGTAAATGTTAAGAGAACAAGACCCCCCTCCTTGGAAAGTCTGAGCCCAAAATTGTGTAGGAGTCGGTTTTCCCTCGTGGGAGTCAATGAACACATCTCGTTGGACTGTTAAGCTGTTTGGTTCGCTAACCGATGAGCGTCATTCGCCGTTTCTAAACATTGAGCAGGAGAAGGGAGTGGTACTTGTTTTTCTTCTTCCTAAGAACTCACCCTCCCCCAGGAAAAATACCGGAACTAAAATCGACGTAAACATCATATTTTTAATTTTTTTCAAAAAAGTGTTCAGTTTGTTTTGCTGGTCCTGATCGATTGATATATTGTTTTACGGATTATCAACCATTTATTTAAATTCAGAATATATTTTTACATTGTACGAATTTTTTGAAGATAATAATTGTTATGGTTCAAGTTAGGACCAAGGAAGAACAACACGAACACAAGAGTAGAAATAACGAAGGTATATTACACGAAATAATAATACAAGATGAGGATGGTGTTAGTATGACTGTCAGTCTGGTTTGGAGTGAACTACTATCGGCTCGACTCGATTCGACCCTCTCTCTTGAGAGGTGTAGTATACATAGTGTTAGGAAGAGTTCATTCTGTAGTTATACGTAAAGACCCATGATAATAATAATTTAATGATCAACTTCTTATTAATTAACCCACAACAGGGGGAAGAAGATATGGATTCATACCTTTCCCAAGAATATTTGCCTGAATATAAAGAACCCGACTGGAACTGAAACTCGGCTCTCCGATTTCCAATTGTGAGCCGTTTTCTATTACACCACACACGCATATATATGATTTCAGCACCTGGCATTCCCAAGCGGTCACCCATCTAGTTAGTGATCAGGCTCGATGTTGCTTAACTTCAGTAATCGTACGAGAACCAGTGTTTCATCATGTGTATTCTCGCCATACATTTTTTTCTTATATCTATCGTTTTGGATTGATATATTCCTGTTTATCTATACAGATGAATATATATCATTTTCTTAAATACATGCACACATACATACATACATAAATACACACACACACACACACACACATATATATATATATATATATATATATAATAAATTACATATTGTGTATTTAGGCAGAAACCCCTCTTTTATACATATTTTGTTAAAAACGTACAAGTGTTTTATTTTCTGGACACAATATTAACATCTTCTACAAATGTAAAATAGACGTCAGCTATAAGCGAGATAAATTTTAACTATATAAGAAATATAAAGAAATACACTACCCCAGTTGACCCGAACAAGAAAATTAAATTAATTATCTATTACAAAAAAATTAAAACAGCTAAACTTATCATCAAAAATAACATATTTCTTTGTCTGTTAGGGCGGTTAGTCAATCCCTGTTGCAGACGCCTGCTCAGGTACATTTGTGCTTGTTCAACACCCACCTGTGCTGAGTCGACCTGAATTACAGTTTCTGGAAGAGAGCCTATCATCTGGCGTAATCCAAAATCTGAACAAGGCCAGCTCACTCAAATCCTCGGTCACGATGACTTGTGACTTCGTGCTAACAAAAACATCGATATGTCTGTGTGTATATATATGTATGTGTGTATATATATGTATGCGTGTGCGTGTGTTTGTCTTTGTGTGCGTCTTTAGCCACCTTACCTCTTTCCATATAATTCCGTGTTATTAATATCTATGTTCATTCTCTCTCTTTCTCTCCCCATATATATATATATATATATATATATATATATATACGCACATATATATACACACATATATATATTTACACACACAAATATATGTATACACACACACACACACACATATATATATATATATATATATATATATATATATATATATATATATATATATATATATATAAAAGGCTCAAACACTAATATTCCATGGCTATAATTTATTACACTGGAATCGTAATCACGATCAATTCATCAGATCTACATTCAAAATAAATCGTTTTTTTTTTTAAATATTAGTGTTTGAGCCTTTTATATTATATTCTTAATCTGTCCTGGACATTGAGTTCTACCTGGATTCAATCCTCTTGGGAATTTATGTATGTATGTATATATATATATATATATATATATATATATATATATATATATATATATGAAAAAAAAAATATATATATATGAAAAAAAATATATATATATGAACAAAATATATATATATGAACAAAAATATATATATATATATGAACAAAAATAGAGTCTTAAGATGTGCTATATTTATGGGATAAAGTGCTCAATATCAGAGATAGAGCCTGACGATTGTATCTAGCATGAAACAGACTGTCGCCTCTAAGTGTTGACTTCTATGTTCACTTTTATATATATATATATATATATATATATATATATATATATATATATATATATATATATATATATATATATATATATATATATATATATATATATACGCGGTTTTGTGTACGTGCCTGTGTGTGAGAATGGAAGTAAAACTATTTATTGGTCGAATGTAACAAGTATCAGCAAACGCTGTATGCATATGTTTAGCCAGAGAGACAGACAGATGTTTAAAGTGTAAATATATATAATATTGAACGAGATCTATTTTTAAAGCGTTCATTACGAACGCGTATATCTCACCCTTCACAAATTTTCTGAAAGTCTTGATGAAGTGAACGAAAAAGCAGCCAATGAATTTACGGATGTTGGTTGACACAAAAATGCGTGCGGACTGAGGGCAAAAAGTGCAGAACAGTCGGTTTAACGATTTATCAACAAAAAATAACGAAGATAACACGTAAAACTTCTTTCAAAACAATTTATTCACGTCATACATTGAATGAGCAAATTAAAACAGCGCTGACTCGAAAGTTACAGGATTCGAACCCACGCCGATAGGGAGTCGCTTTGTTCTTGTTTGATTTCGATGAAAAAATGGTGTCAGTTCTTTGAAGAAAGAATAGCAAAATATGTTGGAAGATAAAATTGGATGTTAGATTGTTCAGCAGACCTTTTTTACTAATTGTTCACCCAAAACAAGTCCCGAGATGCACTCAAGATTGAGGCTAACTGAATGGGGTTGCTGTATTAACGTAAGAGTGGGAGGCAGGAATTATGAGGATTTATAAGAAAGATAACATTTAACACTAGACTTGAAGAGGTTAAGATTTTAGTGTTCGAGGAAGCATCTACTCGGGAGTCTAATTTCACAAAATAGCGGTTCTTAGGAAGGACCTGCCCGAATAGAACTTTTATTTCAATTCTTATCATCGCTTTTTAAAACAATAAACATTGCCGAAGAGTGAAGGTATTTTAAAAAGCGGTGTCATCGGAAAAACCGTCCTTTTGATACTCCGTCTTATTGTGGCCATGAAGGTCTAGGTTTGCCTATTTTTTTTTATTTGTCCCTCTGTTGATCGGAGAAGTAGGAGTTTGAGTAAAGTCTTGTTTAAACCGTTACTGTTGGTCGATATACGTAGATTTGATTCGGTCTAGCGCAAATGTGTCGTTTTTTTCTGCCATTAAAAATGTGAGGAGGCACGGTGGATAGCGGCTCGGATTGAGGAAGAGGGGAGCCGAGTTCGAATTCCAGTCGAATCCATTACATTCACTTAGGTGCTAATATCCTTGGGAAAGATGTGAATCCTCTTCTTCTTCCTCTCAGCTATGGGTAAATAGCAGGACAGACAGGGTTCTATAGCCTTGGATGGCAACTGGTCTACCAGAAAGAAATGAAAACCTACTGCGGGAAAAATCTGGCTCGTCAGTCAAAAGATATATGATCGCCTAAGCGTGTATCACACATGGCACATGACTGACTGAAAATTATGAAATAGTTGCTTAATTATAGGAGAATTTTATAATATTCTTGTCTTTTCTTTAGATAAAAAAAAAAACAATAATAATAGAATAAAAAGGAACAAGAATGATGATCCAAATCGTAAATCTCCGATCGGACCCCCAAACTACCAGCAATGAGATTGAACGGATGTCCCCTCGGGGAGGCACTGTGCCTTGAAAGACTATTGGGCCTCAAATTCACACCTGATCTCCAGTGGAACTAGTACATACGATCCGTTGCTAATGATGCAGGTAAAATTGTTGGCTCCAGCCCTGATAGAGTCCAAAATCGTCTCCGAGTACTTGTGGGTGATGAACTATTCTCCACCCTCCAACCTCTCTCCCCCCAGGTGGAATATGGCAAGCCTCTTACTGCTCTATCGTTACTTCCATGGAAAGTGCTCAGACGAACTTCATTCCCTGGTCCCGCTAGTTCAAGGCTTCCCGGCAAGGACCCGCCATGACACTTACATAGTCGCAAACCATCCACATTTCCTCCGTATTCCATCGGTGAGAATTAAGTTCCACTCGAACAGCTTCTTCCCGAGAACCAGTGCTCTATAGAACAAACTCCCGATCCCTACAATCTTAACCTGTTCAAGGCTAGAGATAACCGTTATCTTCCCCACCTATCCGGATAAACAGTGCCTCTTGTTCTTTCACCCTCTACCTGCTTTATGGGACCGTCACCCAAGAGACTGCTGCCCCGATCACTACAATCTTAACCTGTTCAAGGCTAGGATTAACCGTTATCTTCCTTCCTATCCACACAAATTGCCTCCTTACGTAACTCTCTACCTAGAGTGGCTCTCGGGCCTTGTAAAGGCTGAACCTTACTGTAAAAAAAAATGCTGTACAAAGTAGGTTTTATAAAAGTGAAAATGCACAAGAATTTTACCCGAGATCTTCAGAAAGTATCAGTGCGTATAAACAAGTCTTATGATGTACTCTGAATACAAATCCAGAAGAAATGAAAAACATTACAGTAATCCCTCGATTAGTGCGACTAATATGTACATGAAAAGATACGCACTAATCGAAAATGCATTAATCTAATATAATAACTTATAGGAAATGATGTAATTTGTTTACATTAAATTTTAGTCTCATTCACAATGAATTTCTAATTTGCGTATTTTTAATTAAAATATAAGTACATATAAGAAGATATAATAAAAATGCTATGAATTAATGTTTATTAATCTGATCTTTTATGAAAAACTTATTTAGAGTTCTTTGGTGCATGGTATTCTTCTGTTCTTCATATAATTGGCACTAATGAGAAATTGCCCTTTCAAATTTTCCAAACATATCATAATCATTAGCATTTTAACCTGAAAATATTACAGTGTAACCCGGATATAAGAGAGTTGTCGGAACCGGAGAAGAAGTCTCTTATATCCGGGTTTCTCTTATATCCGGGTTTGGTCTATTTTGTTTAGGTAACACAGGCTCTAATTTGGGACCAGAGAAAATCTCTCTTATATCCGGGTTTCTCTTATATCCGGGTCTCGTATATCCGGGTTACACAGTATCTATAATATTTCCATAGTAAATGCATACAGATTTTTTTATTTCGATATTTTTTAATAAATGTAAATTTCTCTTTCTAATTAAATCGTCCAATTTTTTTAAACAAAAAATCTGAAATTTCCTTTCAAGACCTTAAAAATAAACATGAAAAAAAATCAAAATATTCAAAAAATTTTAATAAGGACAAATATTCAAATATGTATTTTTATTATCGGCTTATATTATAAAATTTTATCTATTCATAACCGTCCATTTTTTACCATGACAGTAATTACTTTGACAACGTAACACCCGACAAAACAAAATAGTTACCAATTTTCCATTTTTAAATTTTAGAAACCTTTTAATCAGTTGGTAACTATAAAAAAAATAAATTTTCAATTACTATGGTTAAACTGGACAATATTTTATCTCACTAATCAAGTATTATTTATTCACAAGCCAAATTTTGACATATAAAAAATTTAGCGCACTAACCTCATTAACCGATTAATCGAATGTGCATTAATCGAAGAATTCCTGTACTATATTGCTAAAGGTGTCAAGGTTATGATAGAAGATGT